TGCTGGATTGGTGCTGCCTGGGCCCCTTTTGCTTCACCTCCTGGAGGTTTGGCTTTCTCTTTTATTACACTGGAAAAAAAAATAAACCGAATATTACTTCCTGCTTTCACTTTCAGTGTGAATCTGCAATGTAAGAAAAGTGTACATCCGGGCTTTGAAAATGAAATGGGAAATACATAATACATAATCAGTCTTTTTAAGATAAAAACTGCATCACCACGAGCTTGTCTTAAAAATAAAGGACATCACTCTCCTAACAGTTTGATACTGCAAAATGAAAGATTCCAACAATTTGCTTTCCTACTAATGGTAGGAAGCATCAGTGGACCACATGTATATGATGGCCATCTTAATAATCTAAAGTGGACCATCATTACCCAGCAATGACACATGGGGCAATATCACAGAATTGTTAAGGTTGGAAAAGACCACTAAAATCAGAAACCAACCATAAACCCAGCACTGCCATGCTGACTTCTAAACCATGTCCCCAGGAGCCACATCGACATGTTTTTTGAACATTTCCATGGATGTTGATTCCACCAGTTACCTGGGCAGCCATTATCTACACAAAATCACTCAAAAAGCTTTGGCACACTCTAAGCCTGAGAGAAACCCCTCAAAAATTATACACTTCTGTTGTCGCAAACACCTACAGACTGCAACAAACATCAGATGAGCTAAAAATTCTCTACAGCCTTTCTTGCAAGAAAACATCACAATTCCTGGATCTCAAACACTTTTCTCTAGACATAACATTTATTCAGAGCACCATGTGCCCATAGTCTATATGCTGAAACAATCAGCAGTCCAACAGTGGTATCTGGTTCAACTCAAGAGCAGCACATCTCAATTCAAGTTTAACTTTAGCTAGCTGTGCTTCAATTTCAGACTTAAAAGTTTGCATGACAGAAAGGTCATCCGTTTTTTCCACCTGCTTCTGCTCTTTAATAACATGTATTGCTCCTGGAAAAGTTACTTCATTAGATTCTTGTAGATTAAATGAAAATTAATTAAATACTTCTCCTCTGCTATCACAACAGCAGTTCATCCTCACATTGTTATGTTAATTACCACTCCTGCTGGGAAAGTTCAAGAAATTGTTTAACAATTGCACAAAAATGTCCAGAAATTAAAGCAGAAAGGACATTTTTTTCTCTAGATAATCTTGTGGACTGCAAGAAAATAATTTCTAGTACATGCCAGAATAATGTTGAGACTGTACAGTCAGCTGAAGAAACCACCAACTTATGGCACACTAGTATTTACTAATATTTGCCTCAAAATATTGACACATTTTTGTCCTTCATTTCCTGCCATACTTGTCAGTTCCAACCTTGCAGTCATGTACTGTATTTGCTCCTCACAGCTGTACATCTGGGGCTCTGCTATCTGGTGCCCAGATTTGATCACCCAGCTCTGTCTTTCACGTCCTCTGCTTCAGCTGAATTGTTACCAGTATGAGTCTACAGCATCGTGTTACATTTTATAAAGCTTACAAGAAGAATAGCGAGCACCTTCCTTTTCTGTAAAATAACCATTATATTGCATTCAACACAAATCACTTTGGTAAAAAAAGATATGTCATCAAAAATGTTCACAAGACTGTTACAGACAGTCTAAACGTCCTTTAGCCTGTCTGAGCACTGACAAGTCTCTGGCTCTTACTTTCTCTGAGCTTGCAAGATGCGCCCTGAGCTTACCGTTTCAACTTTGGTTTCTGCACAGCAGGCTGTGGGGCAGGGTTGGAAAAGGCTGTACTCTTACTGACTGGCACTGAGCTTTTCTTGGAGTTAGCAACCTGAGCAGGGTGACTGGTAGACGATTTGGGGCTCCTCCTCTTGATCTTCCTTTCTTCCATTTCTTCCAGTTTACTGCATGTAGACTAATATCTTGTCCTTCACAGGGAAGAGAAGAAAGTAAGAAACATCCATTAAAACTGGCATTTACAATAAAAGCAAGGGGGAGAGCAGCTCATGGAAATACAGCCCTCAAAGATAAGCAGTCACTTGTTCCTGAGAACACGAGAATCCAGTTTTCAGAAGCTGCCCAGGCCTGCAGTAATTAAAATCTTCTGCACCAGCTCCAGCTGACAGGTACCTCCACATGATCTCAAGCTTTGTGTCCCGTGGACTACTGCTGCCGTGGCTGTCAAGCCCACGCCAATCGAAACACCGAGGAGCGATGTGACAAGCACCTCCTCCACAGGGAGCGGCAGTGCCCCGGCCAAACTGCCGGTGCCGGGTTGTCGCTGTTACACTGTTGTTATTGCCGGTGCCGGGCTACCGATGGGCGCTGCCCAGCCCTGCGTGTGCCGTGGGAGGTGCTGTAATCGGGCGCTACATCGCCACCTCCTCGCCGGGGAGGCGCCTGTGACACCCAATCCCCCGCAGAGGCGGCTGTGGGCACAGCCGTGACCCCCGGGCGCCACCGCGGAGCCGCCGCCGCCACCTCCCGGGGAGACGACACCCCTGCCCGCTAGGGTTTTATTACCGCATTTTATTACCGCGGAGCCTCGGGACGCCGGCCGTGGCGCCGGGAACAGGAGGAAGAGGACAGACACCCCCACGGCCACGCCCCCGCCGCCGCTGCCCGGAGGCCCCGCCCCCCAGCCGGCCCCGCCCCTACCTGAAGGAAGACCCCGCCCCCAGAGGCGCGGGCGAACCCCCACGGAAGCGGAGCCCGGCCGGGCCCGGCGCGCGGGTCACGTGACTGCTGGTCGAGGTGCATTGTGGGGGCCCCGCCCCCGGCGGGCGGGGCACGGGAACTACAGCTCCTAGAACCGCCCGCGGCGCCTCACGGCCCTCACAGCCCGGGGTGTCTCCCGAAATGTCCGATTTAAAACACAAAGGGAAAACCCCCGCACTGCCACCTTCTGGTCCTTTTCCCAGCTGACACCGTGCTCTCCTGCCTTTGCTTGCGCGATCTCCTGCCTGTAGTTACCGGCCACGACCCGCTCGGTACTGAAAAGGTGTCAGCTGCTTTTGCTTTTCAAGACCATTAATTACCCTGAGCACTGAGTGCCTCAAACGAGTGTCTTACACTGTACGGAAAATCACAGAATGACAGAATTGTTGGTGTTGAAAGGTACCTCTGGAGATCATCCAGTCCAACCCCCCTGCCAAGGCAGGGTCGCCTAGAGCAGGTGACACAGGAACACGTCCAGGTGGCTTTTGAATGTCTCCGGAGAGGGAGAATTTCACGACCTCCCCGGGCAACTTGTTCCAGTGCTCTGCCACCCTCAATGTAAGGAAGTTCTTCCCCATGTTGAGGTGGAACTTCATGCATTTGACTTTATGGAGCCCTAATCAGGGAGTTGACTCATTCGTAGCCTTCCTTACCTGTGTTTCTTAGCACAAGTTTAAAGCCAATTGAACTGTGCTTATACAGGCAGCAACAGAGCCCTCCAGCAAATTATCCTCAGACAGTGTGAGGCGTCTGAATCTTCAGATAGGGTCAGCAATAGGAATTCTCTCTGAGAGGACATGCTGGAAGAGCTCAGTCCTTAAATGGAGCTATATGGGCTAGAACTTGCCACCGCCTGCCGCAAGAGAGGAGCCCTGAAGAAAAGATACAAGGACTCCCTGAAACAACATCTCAGCCTTGGCCATATTGATCACCATAACTGGTCTACTCTGGCCTCAAATCGGGAGGCCTGGAGACACACCATCTATAACGCTGCTGTTTCCTTTGAGAACACACACAGGATCACTCTCGAGGAGAAAAGGCAACGCAGAAAGAATCGTGTCTTGCAGAATATACCACCTAAGGAGTCTTTCTGCTGTTCTTTTGCAATTGGACATGTCTATCTCGTATTGGCCTCATTAGCCACCAGCGTGCTTGTAACAAATGTGGATAGAGCCTTTCCCAAATCTTCATTCGTGAAGCCTAGCCATGATATGATGGGCTAGAAATGCTACCGGTGGAACAGCAAGTTCAAGATGATGAGGGGACACGGTCTTTAGCTGCACCAGGGGAGGTTTAGGTTGGTCATTAGGAAGAATTTCTTCACCGAAAGCATGATTAGATATTGGAACGGGCTGCCCAGGGAGGTGATGGAGTCACTGACCCTGGATGTGGCCCTCAGTGCCATGGTCTAGTTGACAAGGCGGTGTGTTGAGTCACAGGTTGGACTCGATGATCTCAGAGGTCTTTCCCAACCTAATTGATTCTGTGACTCCGTAGCTCCGGGAGGTGAAAGCTGGGAGCGGTCGGCAGAGGGACCGTCCCCCCGCGGCACTGGGGGCCGTGCCGGTGTCCCCGCAGTGCCCCTGGCGGGGGTGCGGGGAGGGACGGGCACCTCGGCAGTGCCGGTCCCCGCCCGCAGGGGGCAGCGCACCCCGCGCTCCGGAGCTCGCCGCGGCCGCTCCTTTCCCAGCTCCCGAGCTCTCCTTGCGGAAGCACCCGAGGTAAGGCACAGGTCTGATGGACCTGCCTTCATCCTCGCGACAGATGTGCCCAGGACGGCTATCGATCTTAGTTAAACGGGGGCCCTGCTGCCACGTGTAGTTGGATGCAGCTCTCTGTGTCACTTCCGACCTGGATTCCAGTCCTGAGTCGTTGGCTTGCAGGAACCTTATTTTCAAGGCAGGCAATATTATTAGCAGGGCGTGCCTACCTAGCCTTAGTGATTAACGAGTTCAGCCCCACCAAGTCTATTTCCTGCTGCTGTCGCTATTGCATTTCTGGTCATCACTTGTCTCCTCAGTGCTCCTTATCATTGATGGCTTTGTGGACTCGAATGCTTGGCACATGTTTCCTAGCTGTGGCTGGTAGCCTAAGCTGGTTTTCCCCATGTGACAGTAGTTTGCTGCCTAGAGAGATGAATTTATCAAGTATCTCTACAACTTGTCTACTTGAATTTCTTCCACCTACAATGAGATCTTAGTTTTCACTTGAGAAGTGTATTGTTCATAACTGTATGTTTTCTGATGAAGACTCCTAGACATTATTCACACACCAGCTGCAAAGGGGGTGTAATCTGCATTACCCACAGTGAAAACATCAACCAATGGTTGCAAACTAGTGTTTGCAAGCATATGTCTCAATATGAAGCTATCTCATGGCTTAACAGATGTGCAGCTAGGATGCATGCCTATCTCTGTCTAGACCTTAGATGATACCAAGAGAATGATTCTCCAGTTGTACCCTGATCCTGAACCTTCTCATGGATCTTGAATTAGACCTAAGGGGCTATTAGATGGCAGTGCCTCATCAAGACTTGCATAGCATGTTGCAACTGTGAGACTCAATGGCCACTTTGAGTCCAAGAATGGGAGCTGTCAAAGGGAGATTGCATTTGAAATGACTCTCAGGTGAAGGACAGGGACTGCATGTTCACTGAAGGTCACTCTGCAGTGAAAGTAATTCTATGCAACAGGACACAGTTTGGGTCTGAGGAGCTGGATCAGTTCCAATGCATTAAGATCAGTGTTGTTGAAAGATATCTGTGATAGACCAGTGGTATACTGACAGATCACCTGTGGGAATAAACAGCCTAAGGGTGTCTGCATGTAAGTAACTGAGAAGAAAGAAATTAATCTCTAATCTATAACACTGGAGATGCATTAAACAATAAGGGCAGGTAGAAAAGCCAAAACAGTTGATTCTTTAATACAAATGGCTTCTGATATCTGGTTTGGCATGCATTACAGGGAAACAAGAGCCAGCAAAATTCACACAGACTGTAAGCCAGACACAAATTCCCAGCCACAGGCCTGCCCAAGGAGAATCCTCATTTACACACATACATATATGTGTATACATATATATATGGAAGACTGCAACAAGAGGAAAAAGCAAGACTTACAGACAGAATCGTGTAGATATTTGGGAGATTTGTATGAGATAAATGGTGTTTCTGCAGAGTAACTTTGGAAATGTTTGTGTTCGTTCAGCTCCATTTCTCACATGCTATATGAGCAAGCAAATGTACACACCTTGCCATTGATATATAGAAGTGGGGTTTGTTTTTCCCCCTGTGATCAAAGGTGTTCTGTGGATGCAGAATAAAGCAAAGAGGTTTGACAGTTTGGATGGAAGGTGACTGGGTGTCCTTTGTTTCTAGCAAAGTGTTTGAAATACATCTGATGGTCTGCTTTTAAATTAAGGGGAAATCTTTCCATCACTAAGCAATTTTAAAATAAAATTACTTTTATATTCAGAAAGCAGTTGGATTCCACAGTTAACCCTGCTTCAGTCTAGTCTCTCAGTAGGAGGGATCAAGTACCCCAGAAAGACATGCAATTAATTTTAGCATGCAGGTAATGCTTTGCTCCAAGTGTATTTCTTATCACTGTAGACTATATCACATTAGAATTATTATTAAGGTGTCTCTGCTACTTGTATATCTGATTTAGCAGAGCCTACAAGGGCAGATAATTGGGAAAGCATCAGACTTTATGTTTTAGTAGTGAAAGTAATTTTATAGTGAAAAATTAATTTCTTATAAAAGATAATAATAAGTATTAAATAATCACAAGTCACATGGTCTTTATTTGATATTACAAATCCTATTGCAGATAACACTGTTGCCTTGAATCAAATAAGGATATCATACATTCACCAGGAGGGAGAAAAAAATGTTGTTTGGATTATCTCCATTTATCTGAGCTTTTGTATAATTTTATATTGTGGTAATGATTCACAGTCCGGAAAAAGCTTTCTTCTTCCTTTATAAGGCTTTTTTTCTGACAACTCTACCAAGCATTACAGTAGCATTTGTATATACTTGTTGACTGAGGTGCTCCAAGGGTAACAGTGTTATAATAGCAACAATGTTATTGTTAAAGCAGCAAATTAAAAAGTTAGTTGAATCTGATTTTATTTGCATGTATATCTCCTTACAAACTAGAGGCCCACCCTTGAAAGTGCTTTGAAGAAGAACTTCGAAGAAGTTAAGTCTGTACCTTGCATTGAGATATGCATGCAAAATAAAATCAGATTCTTCTTTCTGAAAACGCTATTCAGTTGACATGAGATGGCAAGCTGGTTATAAAAGCTTCCAAGGCAGTGATGAAAGCATTGGGTTCTTTAGCTTCTATAATTAATCTTGGATATATTTCACAGGGTGGCACCTTGTACTCATGGAAGCATGACATTGCTGTAGCATCACCTTCCAGAAAAGAGCACAGTCTGGGACATACCTGTTCACAGGAGGTAAAGTACTTACTGCTGGTTTGCAAGGAGCAGCATAACAAGGTGTGTATGTATCTATCAGCCACCTAAATGTGCAGAACAATGCAGCAGAGTAGAAATTATCCATATAATTAATTAACACTGGATTAATGTGGATGTAGAATTGCGTGGGTTAGGCACATGTGTATTCTGCTTTACAGAATGTTGACAGGTATATTCTCAAGAAATGTCACTGAAAACATGTCAACATGTTACATTCTCTCTCTCTCTCTCTCTCCCCTCTACCACTGGGCTAAGTGAGGTAATATAAGCGTATATAAATATTTAGACTTCTGTATTATTGCTGAACACTCTCCACATCTCTAGCATGAATAGTCCATTGAAGTCAGTGCTATTACACATGAGAGCAAGCAGTTTAAAACCTCCACCAGTATTATGTGCTTATAAAGTGTTCTTACTGCAAAAAATCAATTTTTCAGAGTCTGTCATGGATTTAAAACTAAGATTATTGATAAGTGCCCTGGTGGTTCCCTAGTGTATAATGTGTTCTCCTTTAGAATTATTTCAAAAGTGTTTCCATAGCTTTAGATGCTGGTATGTTGTAAAAAGAGTAGGGTTTTCTGAAGGATGATAACTAATTTCCATCTCGCTTGATTGTCTTGTTTGGACAGTGCTTTTTCATATGTTAAAATATATTATAATCAAATGATTCCATCTATCACACCATTTCATTATTTTTATCATAATAACCTTTCTCACGGGACTCAAATAACCCATTAATAGACTTGAGAAAAGGCTGGGATAATATGATACTACTCCTGTGTTCCTGTTCAATAGTAGACAATGATGAATTTCATATGAGGTTTTAAAATAAATCAAAATAAATGTTAGGTGGATTCTTCATCCTTGGGCAGCCTGTTGAATTATTTTTGCAGGTACTCATCAGGCTACTCACTGTAAATGTAATGATGTTTACAATCACTCTAAGATCGGCGACATGGTGTTTACAGAATTCCATGAAAGTCAGCAAAACTGCGAACCAAAATGGAAAATAAATTCTAAAACCAAGACCAGATCAGAAGAGATATGACACATGCACAGCTGGGGATGTATTAGTGCAGAGTATGTTTTCTGATGTATATTATGGAAATAATGTGTGGAAAGGATTGTTGGATTTTATTTAACCTAAAATTTTTAACACCTGTTCCTGGCAGGCACCTGCTCTTTTCCCCTTTTAAATATTGAACAGTTTATGATAAATTTAGTACAAGATAGAACATGCAGCTCATAGCACAGAGAACCACAAAGCATCTTTTGTTTTCTGTAGCTTGTTTTTTAAACTGTTCAGTAATTTATCACAAGAGGAGAAAGACCTTGCAGGAAAAAACAAAACAAAACAAAAAACCAAACAGTCTTAAGATCACAATTGAAATAAAATACTTGCTCAATTGTTTTAATAATTTGGCTAAGGGCCTACAAAAATGGTTTTATTTTCTTTGCCAGTGTTTACACTTTATGTCAGTAGGAGGAACTACTAATCACATTCTCTCTGTGAAGTGCCACTGAACAGTATTACTAGTACAGAGTAACACAGGCATGCTAGGGAAGGTCCAGTAAATAAAGTTTAACTTTAAATTTCAGCTTCACCTGTAGTGTGTACAGCACACACCTCTGAAAGTCATGGCCAAGAATCTCAGTGGTGTGAAACTCTGTACGAATTCAGGGAGCAAATAAATGCAATTCCTACCACACAGACCATGCAACAAATGAATACAAGACAGAAGAGGAAAAAGAAAAAGGAAGCAATTAGATAGTCTGTGCTACATGATCCACCATAATTTTTGTCAAAGGTTCTGCTGGCATCATGGGCAAGGATGAACTCATAGCTTACAGGAAAGAATTTGTAGGTGAACTTTTTTGATGGATAATTTGGCTTAAAAGAAAAGCAGGCAAACTTACAATTTTCGTGTTAAGCCACACAATATGCTCAAATATGCTTTTTTTTTTGTTTTGTAATGGTAAACTCCATATGCAAAATTACAGGTCTTATTTGGAAACTTTAATTCAACTCAAGAAGATCCAGTAATTTTTCTAAGTGAGACGATCTGTGAAGATCATGCCTGCAAAGAACTGTGAAGGCAAGCAGCTAGGCTCTCTTTACTGAATGTGCTAAGAGCATGAAATATATCTCTTATATTTACAGTTATAGAAATAAAGTTATATTCTAGAAATATAACTTAGATTGTTATCATAGCAATAAAGTAGGTCTGTGAGTTATTTGCAGTCTGCAATTTTTCCTGGTCAGATTTGTAGTTGGCCTCAAGTAATTTCTTTGTGTTGCTTGGGAAATTGAATTCCCTTCCCCCTCTGTAGCTTGGTGGCTGAGTACAAATACAACTGCTTCGATGTTTTAAGAGCATCGAGTGACTGGTTTTTTCCAGGCTAGAAGACATATTGCTGAGAAGTTCCACTGACTAAATGTCTGTTCTCTCAAACAGACATTGGAAAGCATGTTTGTAATTTCATACTCTGTTTTGTTAGATATATACAAATGCGGAACTAAAACAAAACAAAAATCCATTCCCTAAAGAGAATAAGTGTACACAATCTGTACAGAAAACTGTTTCCAAGCAATACAGACACTAAATGGTATTCTTAAGATTTCTTTTTAATATCATTTTACTCCAATAACTCTAATTAGCAAAGGCAAAAATAAATACCTGAAGCATTTTTCTTTGCATTGGAAATATGAAAGAGAAACAGCAGCAAGAGGTCTCATCTCCAAAAAGGATACCTGTGACGGTGGGCACTGTATTGCTGTGGAATAAAGACAGCCTCCAGAAAAAATTGTTTAAGGCTTAAATACATGATGGAATACAGTGGGCATGTAAGCAGCACTGTTTCACTGAAGGCAATTGTATATAGACTAATAGTTAATTATAGTACAGTAGATATTAATGAGAAGGATTCTATTTTAAGCTTTCTTTAAATTAATTATAATAGAATCATGGGTTTAAATAAGACTTCCTTTTAAAGGTATATTTTAAAAAAAACAACTATATGGAAAGCATTGTAAAAAGTTATAGACTTCAGTGGAAAACAACTGACTATATGCATTACATGTTTTGGTTGTGGATCACGAGGATTGTGTTAGTAGTCAAAACTGCAGTTATAACTATCATTAAATGCAAAGCACAGAAAAACTGACCCAGCAAAGAACCAAAGCAGCATCGTTGACACTGGTTTTTTGGGTTTGTTTGGGTTTTATTTCTTTTTTCTGTGTATGTACAACCAGGGACTAAATTTGCAAACTTTTGGGAGGAGATAAAAATGGAGACTCCTGGAAGGAGGCTCAAATACAGTCAACTTTTGGTTTTTTTCCTTCTAGAGAAGCTATTCCTGAAAGGAAATAGGCTGAAAGTCTTTACACTTTCTTTCACCCCATTTTTAAGCAAAACTAAACAGAACTTTTTTAGCTGGATTTCACTGTATTTAAAAGTTGATTCCTATGCTATTAAACAAGGAATTAATATGTTTTTTCTTGAACTAACTGAAAAATGATTTTGCTAGAAATGCTTAAAATTGGGCATGTTCATAGTCCTCTAAGGAACGTGTACTCTGCCAAGTCTGAAAACACTTGGAACAGAAAAAAGGTCTGAGTATATCTTGCATACAGTGCTACATTTTTTTTACTGATTTATGAACAAGACACCAATGCTTAGCTTGTACAGTTTGTCTGATTCATGCAGTGAAATAAACACAGCTGCATTTATTACAGCGATTGTATAATCACATATTTGGTACCCACAAACTTCTGGGAATATTCAGAGAGCAGTATGTGCTAAAAATCCTAATTTCCTTTACTTTCTCTAATATCAGTCTCATTTTATATTTAATATAAGGTTTTTGCTTATGTAAGTTAGACATTTTAGTAGTAATGATTCTGCAACAACAGTAATTCAGATAATTTGCACCAGCTGTAAAGAGTGAAATTGTCATTGCACAGGTCATAGAAAATACAAAGATGCCAATTGTCACAGGTATTGCTTTGAGCTTCCTAATTTGGAGCTGTATAGATCCTCAACTGTTACTCCATATAGTGTAGACTTTACTACTCAATGTAATTTCTAGATAGCCATAATACTGTCAGCCTTTCAAATCATTATTTTGGAATTTGAAAATATTTTCCCATACTTTTTTTATTACCAATATGCCAGGTTTTGAGACTGACTGTGTATATAAACAAAACCACTGAGTTTTGCAGCATCAACACACTGGATCTCATCACAACCAAGGTAGACGAAATTATGCAAAGGAAAACAAACAAGGTAGCCAGAGACCTTTAATGATCTACCACAGTTGCAAATTCTCCCCAGATGAATATTTTTAAAAGTCACCTTAAAGCCAAAAGCATTTTTTTCTGGCATCCTATAAATATCCAGAACATGGATAGTATACTATATATATTTAGAAAATATTTTGTCATTTTTTAAATCTGAAAATGGAGGGGTGAGTTTAGGCAGTGGTGGAATATGTTGCAGATTGCTGCACACACACCCACTATAATTTCATTAGTGACTGGTTCAGCCGTGGTAGAGATTCCAGTGACAAGCCATGCTCACTGACAAGGAAGAGAATGGGGAAATCTGTGCTGGTTGATAGATGGTTTATCATGCCCTGCGTTTTTTCAGTGACCAAACCCTGTCTTTTATTTATGAGGCAGGAGCTGCTGCAATGTGTCAAAACTCATTTGTGACTGACTGGCATACCATCTGTATTCATCAACTGAAACGTAACACAGTGGCATCTTTTTAAAAAAGTGTTATATATATATATAGTTTAAACAAAAATTTTGCTGTAGCTGTAGTGACTGGTGGTGGGAAGATAATACCTAAGGAGAAATTCAATTCTGCTTTAGTGATCAGCATAGTCTGTGTGTTTGGAATGCAATTAAGAGGCTTCTGTCTGTTTGATGTATTGTTTGCTCTGAGTCCCAAGGCATTCATTTGAGAAGATAATCAGCCTTGTTAAAAGAATACAATTTCAAGTCTTGTTTGATGAAATTATTTTTCAAACTGTTTTAGGGTTTTTGTTCTGATATTTAGTTAATTAATCAAAATGTAAACTGTGTAATTGCTTCAAAGGAGACTGCATATAACACAATTAGAGAAGACATAAATGTGTCTTAGATAAATAAAAATTTTATAAATAATTTACACAAGATTTCAACATGATCTGTTGTCATTAAAGCTAGGGATAGCAACAAAAGACTTGGGTCAGTATTTATGAAATCTCCGTATGTTTAGTCTGATTTTCAGCCGGTAATTCCTGCAGCCTTTACTTTTCCAGATGAAAGTTTTCTTGTACAAATTAAGGCCGCCCATACTCCTGTCCTACAATAACTTGCTGTATTCATACCTGTATGCATACTCAGTAATAATGAACAGTTATATGTGACTTAGATTAGATTTATATTAGATATAAGGAGGAATTTTTTCACCATAAGGGTGCTGAGGCACTGGAACAGGTTGCCCAGAGAAGCTGTGGATGCCCCGTCCCTGGAGGTGGTGAAGGTTGGAGTGCATGGGGCTTTGAGCAACCTGGTCTAGCGGAAAGTGTTTATGTTCACAGCAATAGGGGTGGACGAGATGGTCTTTAAAGGTCCCTTTTTGACCAAACCATTCTATGGTTCTGTGATTCCATGATATTTTGCTGGCTGAAGTCCTTGTGAAGCAGAAACCTAAACACTTTATCATTTAAAAAAATCGAATATATCAGAAGTTTTTCTGCCACGGAGGAAGTGGAAGTGCAGAATGTACTTTGTTAAAAGACACAGAAATGCTTCAACCAAATGAAGAAAATTAGTATGGCAACTCCAGGAATATTATTATTGATCCATTGATATAATATTTCAGCAACTTGGTTTCTCTTTGGGGAGATGCAGCTTGGGGTTGTTTCCATTTTCCAAGAACTGGAGTCCTAAAGGCATATTGGACTCCATCTCTGAGTCCAAGACCTCCATAATGATTGGCAGTCTTCTTTTTGCACTTTACCCAGTTAAACACAAGGACCAAAAACCTCTGATGATAACTTTGAGCTCTTAGGGGGCTGTTACACTATGGTTGTATTTCACAGGCTCTATAAGCTCTTTCATGTTTTTATATTCAGAGCCTAGATTTCCCCGCCCTGTTCTGCTTCCCTGGGAATGATCCAACATACTGCTGTGCCTTGAAGTGCAGAGAGTACATTTTCCTGCCATTTTTTTACAGCACATCAGCTGCCTCTTCATGCAGCAGAGTTGTGGCAGTTCTACACTGATGATTTCAGATGCTTGCAGAACAAGCTACAGACCATGCATTTGTGAGCAGGAATGGAAGGAAGGAAGCAGGGGTGGGAGAGCTCCTCTTTTAGAGGCAAAGAGCTGTTACACCTGATTGGTGTGTTGTTGAATCATATCCTTAGGCCATCACAACTACCATTTCCTCCATGGTGTCATTCCTGCTGCAGTTAGCTTTGATTGTCCCATTGCACCACTGCTAGCATGGCTTTTATCCAAAGACAACTATGCATAGATAGAAAAAAGGAGAAAGAGTTTGAGAGATTTTAAGCTGGTAGAACACAGTGTGCTGATGCTAGCACTTGTGTAGATATGCAGAGCTCTGCAGCTCGGAAAAGCTCAGGGGCCAGCTAGCAGAACAACCCAAAGTCTAAACCACAAGCTGGACAGACTTGAAGAATAAGTTTCAGCTTAATGTTAGGATGGAGGACAGAGAGCAGGGTCAGAAAAATCACTGGGACTGGAGCAACAAACCACTAACATTTAAGACAGAGCTCAAGAAAACACTAAACTTGTTTACTATGAAAGTGTGGATACATCTGCTAAGTTCTTTGAATAATAGGGATGAAGGTGTTGGAGTTACACTGCTGCCTTTGTTTAATGGTGATGATAATGTGGTGAAGAAAATCAGCAAAAATATTACAGAACAAAATAGAAAAAGGAGCTCAGCTCCAGGCTTCAAGAAGGTGCCTGACCCAGGGATATGTCAGACAAGGAGAGCTTAGGGTTGACAAAAGTTTCAAATAATTAATGTCCAGGGAAATAGGATCCTGTAAGTAACCTGTGTCAGAGAGAAGCCTGTCATCATCAGAGAAGTTCCACTATTAGTTTTAAAAGAATATCCATAAGATTCCATTTCTGGACAAGGAAGGAGTCTTTTGGGCCATGCTAGGTATGGA